CTGGCATAAAATGCCTGTTTAGGATGTTTGGTAAGCTGGCAGGTGGTGTAGCTGCCAAAACAGGCAGTTTCTGCCAAAAATATACCAAGAAAAGCGACCAACTTTGGTCTCTATTTGGTCGTTTTTCACTATAAAAAAAATAATTTTCTGGGCAATAGCGACCAACCTTGGTCGCTACCTGCCCAGATTTCTATTAAAAAAATACAATTTCTGGAAATATAGCGACCAATGTTGGTCGCTTATTTAAAAAAAAAAAAAATTAAATTGTTGAATTTAGCGACCAACTTTGGTCTCTATTGTCCAGATTTTAAAATATAATATTTGGATTAGAGACCAAAGTTGGTCGCTTTCTAATGATTAATGATAAATTAAAAACAACGTATTTCATATGTAGAGACCAACTTTGGTCGCCAAATTTATATTATTAAATTAATATAGCGACCAAAGTTGGTCACTAAAGTCAAAATCAGAATATTTGGCCCTTTTAGCTTAGAGACCATCAATATAGCTACCAGGCGTGTTTGGTCGCTTTTTGGGCCATAAACGACCAACTTTGGTCGCTTTTTGTGGTCGCTTTTTTCCGGATTTCTAGTAGTGGTAGCTGCACAGTGCGTGGAGACTGCTGAAGCTATGGGAGCTGACCGTGACCATCTCATGTCTGCAATTAGCTCTGCTGTCAATGTTCGTTCTCACGGGGATATATCAACTCTTACTGCTGCTGCTGCCACAGGTAACTAAAACACTTCATTTGTAGCAGAGTCACCCTTATTTCACTGGTTAATTGCAATTGTAGTAACTTCAACTTGACAATTACAAAGCTAATTTGACTATTAAAAGCTGGATTTTAATGATACAACACATGGTCATCATTTATTATGTTAGTGGTAGTTTTACGTGTCACAAAAGTTGATTATCTGTAACAAGTTAAGATATACTGATAGTGTAAGTAACTTTCTATACTATAAGTGTATAAGTTAAATCTGTCTCATATGGAGTAATATGTTCCTAATTTTCAGCTTTGCGAGGAGCTGCAACATTAAAGGGTAGAGCACTGAAGGAAGTATGGAACATAGCTGCAGTAACTCCAAAAGAAAAGGGAATTGGTGTAGGCACAGTTCGAAAGAGTGATCAAACTCAAACTAATAGCAATAATTACTCCGAGGGACTTGACGTTGAAGAGAATTTTCTGGGTGTTTGTAATCAAGAACTGCTGGCTCGGGGTCGCGAGTTTCTGAAGCGAACGCGTAATGGTAAATTGCACAAGTCCCCTGATATAAATTCAATGCACAAAATTTTCTGTCCATATTTTCTGATGCAACTGTCTATTTGTTGGTTTCAGGTGATCTTCACTGGAAAATAGTCTCTGTCTATATTCATCGAAGCGGAGATGTAAGCGTCACAATTTAATATGTCATAGCATGTCGCTTGCCTTATTATCTTTTAAATGACCATATAATGTAAAGCAAATATATTGTCAGTGTAGAAAGTTAAATTCTTATTAATATATATATGCATAAAAAAGTAATCAAGTCTTTACATTTCTCTATTTTACAGGTGATGCTGAAGATGAAAAGCAAACATGTGGGGAAAACTATCACCAAGAAAAAGAAGAGTACGTCCTAATAATTTTGTCATGATATAACAAAACGACTTCCATATATATAGTAATTGGGACACACACATGATAATGACTTGAAAAAAATTAATTCATGTGCATGGAGATGTAGTGCTAGAAGTTTACAAGGATGTACCAGCATGGCCAGGAAGGCATTTATTTGAGGATGGTGAGAAACGTCGATATTTTGGATTAAAGACAGAAGTACGAGGTGTGGTTGAGTTCGAATGCAAAAATCAAAGAGAATATGAGATGTGGACTCAAGGTGTTTTCTCTCTATGGTTGCTGAGAGGAAGAAGAGATTTCAGAACTAATTAATTAAATGCCAAATAGATTCACTTCTTCAAGTGAGTACACCATGATCAGTTTTAATTAATTAGGTACTACTACTTGCTTACGTGTACTACTTAGTGAGAAGAAGGTAGGAGAATGTATAAAAGTTTTGATGTGCTTGTGAAAAACTTTCTAAAACTTATGCATGTATTATAAGTATCCTCTTTGTTTAGACCTCGAAAAAATTTGTTATTCCTAACACAAATTGTTTATTATGATATATGTAGGGCACTATCAATTGTTCATTAAGATGTGTAGGGCAACATTTTGTTTGACCAGCCGTTTTCTTATAGTCTAAAAATGCCCTTAAAACTAACTGACTATTTAAAACAAAGCGGAAAGGTCCAAAACTTCCTTGATATATTCGGTTTATTTAAAAAATATCCTCTGTTAACTCCGTATCAAATTAAATAATCCAATCATAAGATTCAACCCGGTATTTAATTAAAAAATTTCATACTCGATCTCTTTATCTTCTTTTTGGTTATTTAATGTTTGAAACTTGGGGAGATAAGGATTCCTCTTTTTGAAATCTTGAATTGCCAAAAGAATTTTTTGGATACTAATCTTTTCCATTAAAACTTAGGGTTAATTTCATACACCATCCCTCACGTTTAGCTTCATCACACGGAGGTTTACGATATTACATTTATCTATTTTGTTTTGATTATTTTATAGCAATTCTTTTATTTATATATTACTAGTCTCTATACGCGCATAGCTTAAGTCAAGTATCACATAATTTGTAAAAAGATATTAATAAAATATTAAACGCATATACATTCTAATAGTATCATTTGTTAGAGTAATACAATGAATTAATTAATTAATATATCTAATTAACCACCATCATTTGTAAATTAATGTGTCAATTCAAAGCGTAATTGGCCACTGTTTTGTAATTATATGTAACCCGAATGATTTTTCAAGTCAACGAAAGAGTCGTAACACTAGCATCTACATCGGCTAATTATCCAACACATCCACGTGATGTCAACTATCAACCTATAATTGAGTCTTTTTTTAAAATAAAGTAATTAAGATAGTAAATATCTTGTTCAAACTTTACGAGAAAGTTCCATCAAATTTATAAATCCCTGTGCAAATTAATTTGAATCAGTGAGTGGATAATTCAATATTTAGTGAAATTAGTATGAATTAGAGCTTCAGTTTAAATAATTTAATATTTAGCTAGTTTACTTCAAAATATTAAATATTAGAATCTATGTATTACGATTTTATTCAATGTGAAATAATCTCTGTGAAAAATAATTTAAGCCTAATCCAAATAAATTTTAATTTCTTTCAGTCCAATGTGATTTAGTCTTGATCGTGTGTTGTAAATGTGATTATGTAGTCCTTCCTTACCTATAGCTATGCTAGCTTAGAATTAATTATTGATATAGTGATCTTATTAATAAAAAAGGAAAAAAGTATTAATGTCCAAAACTTGGAAAAGAGGGTCAAAATCAAAATTTTAAAACTACAAAACCAAACACAAAATCGTTTAAGTATGTTAGATTTATAATAAAATATAGTGTAAAATGTAGAGAAATTCTATTGAATAACCATGCGTTAGTTTCGGATAACAAACTCAAAATATTTTAAGAAAACAAAATTAATCGAACCTTTGTTTTTCACATCTTGGAATTCAAACGTAAGCTAAAAAAAATTCTTCAATTTTGTAAACTAATTATTTTAATTTTAATACTTTGAAAATGTTTGATTTTATACAATTGAACTAACTTCCTTCAATTCTGACGTATTAGTTCCACGTTTAGCTAGAGGAAAGTTTAGAATATTTAGTTTTAGGATTTACTTTTTCTTATTCATTCATAATTCTACTTCTTCCACTATTAAGTCCCAATTCTACTACTACTCTTCATTCTAACTAGGGGTGTCAGTGGTTCGGTTCAGTAGGTTATTTTATAAACTTTGTATCATATGAATTTTTCGGTTATTCTATTATGTATAACCAAAATTAGACTTTTCGAAACCGTTCCAATTACTTCGGTTTCTCTTCGATATCGGTACAATTCGGTAAATATTCGATAATTTTTTAAAATGTCATGTAAAAATCACTATTAAAAGTATAATGCAATAACATACGTACTTTTATAGGACTTACCGCAACTCTCTAGACGTTTTTACAGTTTAGTAAAGGTGATGAATTAGGAAAATATAAAAGATGGCTAGAGTATAGATCCATCAACTATTCTACATCAGCGTAAAAGAAACTAAGTAAATACAAAAAAAATATAAATCACACGAGTAGAAAGACATTAATTGAGCTGGGATTCAAGAATAAAGTCTATAGAAGATTAAATATTCAAAAATATAAATCTAAATTAATATTAAAAAAGATAAATCTAAATTATACGAAAGGAAACATATTGAATACATTATAATTTATTGCTCGTAATCTCTATAATACCTTGTGTCTTGCTAGTGAATATGCTAGAAATAATTTAATTTCAATAGGAGTAGCATAATAGGTTTGGGAATTAGGATTTTGAGTTTAATTACTTGTTGGCATGTAACTATTTCATTATGAAAAGGCCCCCAAAAAATTTAATGCGTTATTACTTTTAAACTTAATATATAAATATATTTTTCAGATTGTAAATTTATTCGTTACGGTTCAGTATTTTTCGGTTTATTTTCACAAAATAAAAAACCTACCCTAATTATCGGTACGGTTATAGATATATATAAAAACCTACGGTTTTATTAAAAGAAACCTAAAAATCGATTCAGTACGGTACGGTTCGGTCGGTTTAGTCGGTTTTTAAATATCCATGGACACCCCTAATTCTAACGTGTCTATTTTCAGTTGTGTCCTTTCATTATAAGTTTTTGTCAAAATTAATATAAATAGTTAAGGGTATAACAGTCGACCAATATTTTAGGGATATTTTAGTCACTCAACATTTAGCATGAAACATTCATGCTTTTATAATAAAACTAGTATCTATGAATGTGCGTTGCACGTTAATAATGACACGTGATGATTTAAATATCATTTATATGAAGGAGTGTGACGATCCCAGTTCGCCCTCCGTGAACTATCATGACGACATCTAGTCTCTACGACTAGGTAAGCCTAACAAATTACAGAAACATAAAACAACATAATAAAACTAGCCAAAACTGCAGAAATAACATAATGAAGCGTTTAAGATGCCGCTCGGCATATACAATACAAACTCTCGAACTGAAACAACATTTCCCAAAACCCGGAATCTCATGAAATCACAAGCTTTTGAATGACTACAAGTGTTGTCACGACCCAATTTCACCTCAGGTCGTGATGGCGCCCAACACCGTTGTGATGCAAGCCAACGCAGAAATATTAGTGAATTCTTATTTTACTTACCAAAAGCAGTTACAACACTTTTCTTAATTTGCAATTAAAACAGGTGATAATAAGCAATATTCAATAATAGTTATACAACCCAAAAGAACTGTCTACTAATATGTGTGCCAAGACCTGGTGTCACAAGCTATGAGCAACTAGTAGAATATACAAAATAATAGATCTATCCTACTGTCTGAAACAAAATAGACAGTCAAAAGTAAGAGAGACTCCATCAAGCTGCTGATCGGCACAGGAAGGGAAACAGCTCACCGTGAAAGTCTCAGACTATGATCAAGGACGCGCACCAGTCTGATAGCCAGATGTACCTGCCTCAAAGCCTGTACAATTAAGTAGAGAAGCGTAGTATGAGTACATAAACAATATGTACCCAGTAAATATCCCGTCTAATCTCGAAGAAGTAGAGACGAGAGGTCGACTTGATACCTACTAGGGTCAAATAATATAATATGATGTTATGCCAGGCATGATGGTCACAATTATATAACAGTTGAAATAAGGATTTCTAAGTCATGTCATTTTAATATCACAGTTAATCCTTTACATTTCAAACCATGTATTAGGCAAATAATCAATAATAATTCACATAAATATCATGTGCACATTATGCCGAGGTCGACGACCCGATCCAACATAAAAGAAACTGTGTACTGCCAGAGGGTCGAATGACGCGAACCATAGATGCATCTATTTCTACCGAGGCGATCGGCCCTATTCACAATTATCAAGTATCAACAGAAAAATACAAGAAGGCGCATTTATATTCAAATAACTCATACAAGTGCTCAACACGACATATGTTCACTTATGTTAATTTTCACTTCTCTAGAATATCCTAAATGATCACATTAGCAAGAAGACATATAACATTTGCAAAAGTAGCATGATACGGGTCCTAAACTACCCGGACAATTAATATGATAGTAGCTACGCACGGACTCTCTTCACCTAGTGCGTACGTAGCACCCGCATTTAGTGGCAAATTATACAATTATTACAACTATGGGGATAATTCCCTCTTACAAGGTTAGAAAGGAGACTAACCTCGCTCCAAAGTGTACTTCCAATACCAAGAACGAGCCCGAACTCTTAATTTGGAGCTGAACGATCCAAAACTAGTTAAATGGGGGTAAGAACTAGTCAATACAAGCTCACAAGATCACATTCTAACTATTAAAGAAATTTCCCAACCTTAAACACAAGTTTCCTAAAATCCAACTCCGAGCCCACGTGCCCGGATTCCGAAATTTTTCGAAGAAAGTTGTTCTTTGTAACCTAAGTATCAATAATATATGATTTCTACTTCGCTTTATAACCAATTTCGTGGAAAAATCTAAGTTTTATCAAAACCCTAGGTTTTGCTCTAACCCCATGATTTTACCTTAATCTTAGTGTTTAATATAAATAAGACACAAGTATTAAACTAGGAATAGTTGGGATAAACTTACCTCAAGATGCTAGGTGGAAGTCTTCTCTCAAGAGCTCCAAAATCGCCCAATGGAGGAGTGAAAAATGGCAAAAATAACTTAGAACCCGTATTAAATGTAGCTCACTGCTTCAGCGATTTCCGCATCTACAGTCCTGGGCCGCACTGCGGCCACCGCATATG